CCATCCGCCCCCTCCCCGGAGCCGCGGCGTGGGGCTTGGAACTCCGCGGAACCCCGCCACCACCACCCGCCGCCCTGCTTCCCACCTCGCGCTCTGAGGCCGGGCTCCTGCGCCCATCTCACCTCCCTCCCGCCAGCCAGGTGGCCCCCAAGCCCATCCAGCTGGCCCACCGGGGCTTGGTCCCCAACCCGGGAAGCGCGCCGCCACCAGCCCGCCTAGCTGGCACACTCCCCACGCGCCCGCGAGTCCGGGTCTGGCCCGCGCCCCGTGGTCCACCCAGGAGAGCGCGCCCCTTCAGGCGGTGAAAGTCCCCCGGGAAGGAGCCCTCCCGCAGGCCAAGGGGGCAGTACCGCCCCGCTGCCCGCAGCCCAGTGGCGTGGGGACCGCGGCTTGGCCAAAAGCGCGCCGGGCCCCCAGGAGCCCAAGCGCGGTGGCCGCGGGTCGCCGGAACTTTGCGCCCTGTCCTCCTCTGACCACCGCCGCCTCGCCCCGCTCAGTCTCTGCGCTCCCCGGCCCCGGCTCGCCAACCCCGCGCTCACCGAGAACCCACCTGGCCAGGGGGCCGAAGATCTTGGAGAAGATCGCACCGAGCACGTGCTTCAGCGAGTGGCCCAGGGCGGCCAGGCCCCGAGTGAGCAGGGCCCGGCAGAGGTACCCCAGGTCCCAGCGTCGCCTGAAGTCGTGCATCCGCCTGCGGCGGCCTCGGGGCAGCAGCGCGAAGAGCGGGGCGCGCTTGGCTCCCGCCTGGGAGGAAGACGCCTTTCGGGGCTCCTCCTGGAGCAGCCAGGAGTTGAATCCGCGAGACACACCCCTAAGAGGGCCCTGGCGGACTGAGGCAGCGGCAGAGCCGGGCTGGCTTCCTGCCAACTCGGCCTCCACTCTGGAATGCCGGCGGGGACAGGTGGTGCAGGCGGTAGCTCCTCGCTCTGGTTGCCGCGGCGGCCACAGCGCCTGGGCTGCACACGCAGGCAGTGCCATTCCCCCCTTCAGGCAACTCAGGGTACTAAGGATCAGGAGCGAGCCTGAATTTATGTAATAATGCCTCGCGCCCCAGAGCCAGAACCACTTCGCAGGCGAGGACTTGGCGTGCTTGCTTAGGTCTTGGCGATCCGGGGTCACTCCAAAGAGTGCACCACTCCACTTGGGCTTGGCTTCTCACCCTCCCCTAAATAGCAAGGGGCAAACTAGACCTCTCTCGTCTCCCCCTTTGCAGGGAGGGATTCTGAAAAGGCAAGTCAATATGGAGAAAACATGCCCCCCACCCCAATAATTTTTTTAACAAAATGTGAATGTAATCTTTTTCTGAGTGGACTGGGCTCATCCACCTTTTCTTGCCGAATCCTGTGCAGCTTGCCCCATACTGGCAAAAGGCCCTCACTCATGTTCTTCGTGAATGAGTGAAGACATCCCAATGGGGCCACCTACTGCAGAGGGAACAGACACACAGGAGGATACCGAGGCCCAGAGAGGGAAAGGAAGATGCCCAGGTCACACAGCAGAGCCCCAACATTAGAACCCTAGCAACAAGCCCCCATACCGCCCCTCCCTTTCCTGATATTTAACACCACCTCTTCGAAGAAAGAGATGCAAATGATGCTTCCACCCCACCCCACAGGTGTCCATGAGGTTCTTGTCTGCTGCAGGACCAGGAATGTGGGGATAAACCAGGAAGAAAGGGCTGGCTCTCACCCTGGCAATCCACAACTCAGCTGGTCCTCGGCTAATGGGTCAGGCAGAGCACTCTGTAATAGAACATGAGTTTTCAGCAAAAGGTGTTTCATGGTCACTCCCTTCAGAGACAGACTCTCCCAGAGTGCTCCCATGAGCACTCGGGGCTTCATGGGCCTCCCCACTGCCATTCCCTCCTAGTTTCTGTGATGAAGCAGCGAGCCCTGGCCCAGGAGTGCTGAGAAATCTGCTGCTTCCTTGCTGGGTAGCCCTTGGAAAATCGTTAACCCCCTGCAGAACCTCACTTTCTTTTACTGTGAAAATAAGACTCTGAACGTCCTCTGTCCTGATGATCAGGGTCACTGTAAGGATGAAATGTGGAACCCTTTGGACAACTCCAAATGGAAGGTTGGGGTTACTTTGCAGGTCTAGGGCCCTTAGCCTTACTGTCCCCGCATTGCCCCAGCCCTGGCTGGGCTTCATGCGCCCCAACTCTCCCAGGGACCAGCTGCAGCTCTCAAGGACAGTGGACTTCCTAGGGATCCTACATTTTAGGCACTCCAGGATTTACCTAGGAGTAGTTCTGTGCTGGGGCTGTTATCTGCAAGGTTAGCAGTTTGAAACCACCAGCCACTCCTGGGGAGAAACATAGAGCTTTCTACTCCCGCAGAGTTACAGTCTCAGAAATTCACAGGGCCATCCTCTGATAGGTCACTATGAGTCGGCATCGATTCAATGGCAGTGAGAGGTTGAGGCACTACTTGTCCTAGGCTCCAGACAGCGGTTCTCTACCTGTGGGTCGCGACCCCTTTGGGGGTCGAATGACCCTCTCACAGGTGTCACCCAATTCATAACACTAGCAAAATTACAGTGATGAAGTAGCAACGAAAATAATTTTATGGTGGGGGGAGGGGTGTCATCACAACATGAGGAACTGTATTAAAGGGTCGTGGCATTAGGCAGGTTGAGACTACTGCTCCAGAGGGACATGTTGACAGAAACCAGAAGCAGCCATTTACAAGGCAGGTGCTGCAGCTTCCCAGAGAGTTTGCCTGGAGCCACCAGACTTGCAGGGCAAGGCCTGTTCCCCTGGAGGACAGCTGAGGGAGGTCTTCTAGGGGACGGAAGCCCTGGGCTGGCTCCAGAGCTCCAGGAGTGCTGTCCCTGTCTTCTCCTCGGCCACCAGCACAGTTGGCCTCTTTAGTCAGCCCAACAGGTGGCTGTTTCGTTTTTTGTGGTTCGGTTTTCAGATCTCACTACCATCATACCACCATTCTACAGGCATTTGGTGGGTCTCTTGGAAAATAATTTTGGAACTGGTGAGTCACACAGTCAAGCCCACAGCAACTCACTGTAGAGTTTCTGTGCTAAAAGGGAGTGATGTGATTGGAAGAAAGACAAGAGCTGGGGGCTGGGGGTTATACAAAATCTGTGGGGGGGGATCAGGATGTAATCATTTCGATAGTGAATAGGAACGCACATGTACACACACAGACTACAAGTTTCAGAGAAAGGGGTAGTCAGACTGGTTGCTGCTCAGGAAAAGAGGGGGCAGTTAAGTCCCGTGTCTGAGACCTGGAATGTCCCCAGTGCTCTAAAATGGGTATGTGCAGCAGCTCTCTGGAGGCCTGCATTTCACAGCCCTTGTGCAACCCTCGTCATGCTGTCTGGCACAAAGAAATACCTCTCTCGTGGTAGCATTCATTTATCAGGGGTGCCTGGAAGTGGTGAGAAGGTATCTTTGAGGTAAATGGGGCTCCCCTAAGTCTCACAGGACCCCTCCTGGAGTGGAGAGGCTCTCTGCCTAGAAGCAGGGGACTTCCTATGTGTGACCAAGGGCCTTGTTGGCGCACAGAACCTGAGCTTTGGCTGACTCTTCAGAAGGCCCAGCTCTCAGGATCTGGGTCTTCCCAGGAATGGATCCACAAAGGCCCTGCTGCTGCAGAATTTGGCCCTAGGGTGGGGGCTGGGGGCACGGGAGCACGGTACACTTAGGGAAGAGAACTGGCTGAATGATCAGGTCTGAGATTAGCCTGTTGATTTGGGATTTGGAATTTGGAAAGTGAAGAGGCTTCTGCTGGCTCCAAAGTATGCTGGTTTCCATCATTCTTCCAGTAGTTTCCACAAAAGGTTGATTCTGGGAGCATCCAAGGCAGCCTGGCTTGAATAGGAAGCAGGGAACTTCTAGATACCCAGTTGGCTGCGGTTTTCTTGGGAGGACAGCGGGAGGTCGTTGCAAGACTGCTGGCCTGGCGTAGCATGGAGGGCAGAGATCTGGGTTCTTGTCTTGGCTCAGACACTCAGGAAAGCACTCTATGATTTCCTCACCCTAAGGCTCAGGCTTCCTACTCATAAAATGGGGAAGTCTATGCCGTCATCCAATGGGCAAGTTCCTGCCCTAACATGCTAAGCCAGCTACTTTTGACAAGGCATTCCTTCAGGGTCAAGATGCTGGCAAGCCCTCCGAGCGTCACCTCAGGTCTATACAACACCCACACCATTTGACCCAGCCAGCCAATCAGCACTTGGTCTTGTTCTGGGTCTACAGCAAAAACCAAAAGGAAAAGGGGAAGAAAAAAAAAAACCCAGAGTTGATTCCGACTCCTGGCAATCCCTTGTATTACAGTGGAACCGCTCCGGTGTGTGTGTGTGTTTTGGGGGGGGGGGTCCTAGGCTGACAGCTGTCTTGGGAGAAGAACAACCAGAATACTCCTTGGAAGTAAGGATGGCAAAACTTCGTCTCCTGTACTTTGGACATGTCGCCAGGAAAGACCAGTCCCCAGAGAAAGACATGACACTAGGTAGAGGGATGTCGAAAAGGAGGAAGACCTTGGACAAACTGGACGGACGCAGTGGCTGCAACGTAAGAACCACTGTGAGGATGGCGCGGGTGGGCAGTGGTCCCTCGGCGTCAGCACTGACTCGGCGGCACCCAACAACGCCATCTTGGCACAAACAGCCCTCCAGAGTTCTCTCCGGTGGCAGGGCTGGGTGGCTTTGAGCATTTGCTGCGGCCCTGTCTTTCCAGCTGTCTCCAATTTTCTTCTTGTTGTGCAAAACGTCCAGACTGCCAATAAGAAACAGTTTCGTGATGAAGTACGAAGGCGGGCAAACAATTGAGTCAATCCGTTCCTGTGTTCCCGAGTCACTCTCCCTTGAACGACCACGCAGTTCTAAAATTCAAGCGTTAACCTTCTAATCAGGTGGCCTCTGTGATCTACAGCACTCACAACCGTCATCTACCTGCGTTCCCTCACCCCATCGCAGCACACACACACACACATACACACACACACACACTCACACAGCATTGAGCCGTATTTGTCTAGCCTTACAGAACATAGATATTCATGGGCCTCCACAATTTCAAAGAGGAAGATAATGCTAAGGTATATGCTAAACCTCTCACCCTGTACATGTAGAATGATGATACCCTTCAGATGAGGGCTGCCCCCCACCCCACCACCACTCCTGCTCACTGGCAATGAACGGAATGTATGTTTTGGCTTTTAAAGCGACAAGGCTTGACCACCACCAGCCAGATTGTTTCTTCTCATCTCTGAGCTTCAGCTTCCCTTATAAAACAGCCGGGTTACCCACCCCCCAAAAAAGCTGATGTAGGGGTTTAGAACAGAGGAATTCAAACACAAGAGCAGGGACTAAAGGTTTGGGGAGCAGGTCATTCTGAGTTTTGACCCAGGCCTTGATGTGCTCGTCCATAGCCCCAGTTTTCTTATCCATGAAAATGGGGCTAATGACCATGGCCTCGCTGCGTGACCCTGTGAGCTTAGTATCTGTAGCCTCGTTTCCAGAAAAGGAGACCATCAGTCAAGTTATTTCTCTTCATTTACCACCGAGACGGTCTTCGGTTTGAGATCTCTGTTATATGTCCCAGATTTAATGACAGGTGGCTGGCCATGGGCCTCCTTGTGACCTAGGCTGCCTTTGGCACCCGTCCCATGCCTCTGCTCTTTTTGCCGCACTCTCCCTCCGAGCCACGCTCTTATTCTCCTGGCTTGTGTCCAGAGCAAGTGGCAAACTTTGGATCTGATCAGTCACTTGGAGCAGTGGGGCATGTAGGCATGGCCCCTCCCCAGGGGCACCAACAAGACAAGAGCGAGAGGGTAATGCTGAACCCTCATGAAGGAGCCCATCAACGGGACTCTGAAACACCAGCAACAAAACACTGGGGAGGATGCTTGAGGGAGCTGCAGTCGGGGTGAGGGGTGGGTGGGGGTGGGGGCTTCCAGGGCCAACCCTTCTCTGAACTCTTGGCACTAATTTTCAGCTCCATTCACTTCAAAAGTTAA